AAAAAAAAAAAAGAAAATCTTACTGCACCTGACTATCTTCTCTTCTCCTCCTCATCCTCTTCTCTCCTCTCATTTCTCCACACAGCTCCAGCTCACAGGAAGAGGGAACCCAGCAGATAGCAGTCAGAATAATTCAAAGGGCCTGGAAAAGTTACGTGGTGGGTGCTGCTGCTGAGGCCACGCACACTCTTGTACATGCAGAAATGAAAGGAAAACGTGCACAGGTATAAACTAAAAACACTCTTTCCTACCCAAACTGTAGCACAGAGAGGTCTTCAGGTATTTCAAAGAGCTTATCGGCGACTGCAACCAGGGGGATCCACGGACGATCCTCAAAACTGTCAACCCCAGAGAGGTAACAGAAACCACGCTCTCTGTAGAATAAAAACAACAAATAAAATAAATGGTGAGATCAGATTTTCCTGTGGCAGGCAGAGCTGCTGGACGCTGCTGCTGGGGCGTACATCAGATTTCGACTCGGAGGGGTGAGAGCTGAATTGGAAATAGTGATAAACTACTCCAACAGCGATGTGAGTATGATAACCTGCTAACATCTCACTTAACCCTTCGCCTTCAGATTACCTTTCCTCCCAACATCTATTACAAGATCTTCACCCATCGACCCATCACCGACGTGTGTGCCAACAGCCCAAAGAACTACACGCAGCGAAGCCTCAAGAAGCCTGGGGCCCGGCCCGCCAACAACCGCCGGCCTCCTGTGCAGGAGGAAGATGCAGGATGGTACCAGCGTATGGAGAACAACAGCTGGAGGCTCTTCTGTTGCAGGGTCAGTAACATGTCGGAGATCATTTTCTGTTGCGCCTGTTATTTGTCCAAAGATAACACAAAAGAACAGCTACAGCAGTTTTTTGCAGCTTCGCGTGCCATTGATCCTACCAAATAGTCTGATAAACATTTATCTTAGGGACTTTGTGTAAGCTGAATGTATTTAATAAAACAAAATGAGAATGAAAGTCTGCGTTAATGCGCTGCTTCTTCTTCTCTGATAGATGGTTCCCATGGGTGAGCCCACAGAGATCGGTGCTAACAAAAAAAAAGACTTCCACCACTCCAGGTTGCAGCGGCAACAGGATGTGGACCAGTGGAGGAAAAGGAGGAAGATTGAATGGCTGAAGCAGATGTGAGTTTGAGAATGTGTATTTACAGTAAGGTGAGCTAACATGAGCCACCATGAGCTTCTTCTACAAATATCCCCCTCGCTCTATTACAAGGTGGTCAATATACATCTGTGGCAGCGTTATGCACAGTCCTCTCTCCCTTACCTACAGGTACAACCAGGGTCGTCAGCAGGCTCACCCAGCGCGTCGACACATGGCGACGATGGTGGTGAATTCGGCTCAGGAAGTGATGGACACCATTGCAGAGAAGGGAGATGATGAGATACTGGAGTGGGAGCTGGATGAGCTCCTGGCCTGGACCAACACTCTCAGCTTTGAGGAGTAAGATCCTCAAAGTTTGGGAGATTCTTGAATAGACTAGTTGTAATCAGAAGTGGGTAAAAGTAAATTAATCTTCATCGTTTTGTAATATTTTTAAACATTTTGCTCTTTGTGCCTGTGCAGTTATACGGAGGAGTGGAGACGTTTGGCCTGCAGTCACTCCTCTGAGCCCAGTAAAGGTAAAAA